CTACCCGAGTTAACCGACAGCATCTCTCAGGATGACTCGAACAATACGAATAGCTTCGTGGACCTAGTTCGGGCAGCAGACCGAGTTTCGAGCTCGGGATTCGACAGGCGGACGCGCCTGATGTCTCCAAGTCGACTTCTGTGACTACCAGCACTGTAGCCCCCCTACAGCCGGAGTTAAGTACAGAAAACCGACAGCACCTCTCAGGATGACTCGAAGAATACAAATATTTTCGCGATTCTAGATCGGGCAGCAGACCGAGTTCAGAGCTCTGGATTCAACAGACGAACGCGACTGATGATTCTGAATTAGTTTCTGTAACTATCAGCTCTGTAGCTGTCATATAGCTCGAGTTAACTACAGAAAACCGAGAGCACCTGTCAAGATGACTCGAGTAATATGAATAGTTTGCGGACCTAGCTCGGCTAGCAGGCCGAGTTCAGACCTCTGGATGCAAGAGGCGAACGCACCTGAGCATTCTGGATGTGCTTACCAGCTCTATAGCTGTCCTGTACTTCGATTTGTGTCCAATATACCGAGAGCCTGTATCAAGATAACTCGAAACGACCGATTCCGCCTGCCTGCTTTTTGGCAGTAAAAAGTGCCCGATCGAGCTGAGATCAAGATGGCGAGCAGGAATAAGGTCGAACATCACGGGAAAAAATACTAGAGTTCTAACGAATTGTTGAATTTCGAAAACAAAATTTTCAACCGACCGAAAGTGACCAAAAGGTCCGTCGAGATTTTTCTTGCCAACTAGCTCTCCAGCGCCCCAGACTTACTCTTGAGCTTCCAGCAATAACTTGCTAAGAGAAGCTCTACGAGTTACTTGGCAGCGTCGAAAACCCGGAAAGCGAAGAAGCTTTGGGACGGGAAACTGGGCGCCGGCGGTAAACCGTCAACCTTTCTTACCGCTGGGGGACTCGTAGAGCTTCCTGACAATATATAATGTAGAAAAATTACAGAAAACGAATAGTTTTCCAGCCCAAGCGATTTCACACCTCTCGATGCAACAGCCCAACGCCCCCGATGCTTCTGGATTGTCTTCTTTACGAGCTCTGTAGCTCTGCTAGCCCGAGTTACGTCCCTACAGCTCGAGTTAAGTGCAGAAAAGCGACAGCATCTCAGGATGACTCATCCATTAGTTTTGCGAACCCACTTCGGGCAGCAGACCGAGTTCCGAGCTCTCGATTCGACAGGCGGAGCGCCTGATGTCTTCAAATCGATTCTTGTGACCACCAGCACTGTAGCCCCCCTCAGCCCGAATTGAGTGCTGAACACCGAGAGCACTTCTCAAGATGACTCGAACAATACGAATAGTTTCGCGATTCTAGAGGCAGCAGACAGTTCAGAGCTCTGGATTCAACAGACAAATGCGACTGATGATTTCGAATCGGTTTCTGTAAGTAGCAGCTCTGTAGATGTCCTATAGCTCGGGTTAAGTACAGAAAACCGAGAGCGTCGGTCAAGATGACTCGAATAATACGAATAGGTTTGCGGACCTAGCTCGGCTAGCAGACCGAGTTGAGACATCTGGATTCAACAGGCGAACGCGCCTGATCATTCTGAAGCGATTAGCTGTGCTTACCAGCTCAGTAGCTGTCCTGAAGCTCGAGTTATGTTCAGAAAACGGGCATCGCGTGTCAAGATGACTTCGATCGGCCGATCCCGCCTGCCTGCTTTTTGGCAGTGAAAGGTACCCGATCGAGCTGAGATCAAGATGGCGAGCGGGAATAAGATCGAATATCATGGGAAAAAATATTAGAGCTCTAACGAATGGTTCAATTTCGAGAACAAAAGTTTCAACCGACCAAAAGTCAGCGAAAGGTCCGTTGAGACTGGGCGCCAGCGGTAAATCGTCAACCTTTCTTACCGCCGGGGGACTCGTAGAGCTTCCTGACAATATATAATGTCGGAAAAAATGCAGAGAACGAATAGTTTTTCAGCCCAAGCGATTTGAGACCTCTCGATGCAACAGCCGAACGCCCCCGATGCTCGGGATTGTCTTCTGTACGAGCTCTGTAGCTCTCCTACAGCCCGAGTTACGTGCGTAAATCGACAGCAACCCTGAAGATGACTCGAACAATACGAATAGTTTGGCAAACCTAGCAGGAGTATCAGAGCAAGTTCAGGCCTCTGAATGCGACAGGCGGACGCGTCTGATGTCTCCGAATCGATTCCTGTGATTACCAGCCCTGCAGCCCCCCTACAGCCCGCGTGAAGTGCAGAAAACCGACAGCATCTCAGGATGACTCGAACAATACGAATAGTTTCGCGGACTTACTTCGGGCAGCAAACCGAGTTCCGCGCTCTGGATTCGACAGGCGGACGCGCCTGATGTCTCCAAATCAATTCCTGTGACTACCAGCACTGTAGCCCCCCCCACAACCCGAGTTAAGTACAGAAAACCGACAGCATCTCTCCAGATGACTCGAACAATACGAACAGTTTCGCGATTCTAGAGCGGGCAGCAGACCGAGTTCAGAGCTCTGGATTCAACAGACAAACGCGACTGATGACTCTGAATCGGTTTCTGTAAGTATCAGCTCTGTAGCTGTCATATACCTCGAGTTAAGTACAGAAAACCGAGAGCGCCTGTCAAGATGACTCGAATAATACGAATAGGTTTGCGGACCTAGCTCGGCTAGCAGACCGAGTTCAGACCTCTGGATGCAACAGACGAACGCGCATGATCATTCTGAATCGATGAGGTGTGCTTACCAGCTCTGTAGCTGTCCTGTATCTCGAGTTAAATCAAATATACCGACAGCGCGTATCAAGATGACTCGAAACGGCCGATCCCGCCTGGACGCTTTTTGGCAGTAAAAGGTACCCGATCGAGCTGAGATCAAGATGGCGAGCGGGAATAAGATCGAATATCATGGGAAAAAATACTAGAGCTCTAACGAATTGAGCACGTTCGAGAACAAAATTTTCAACCGACCAAAAGTCAGCAAAAGGTTTGTCGAGATTTTTCTTGCCAACTAGCTCTCCAGCGCCCCGGAATTACTCTTAAGCTTCCAGCAACTGGGCGCCGGCGGTAAACCGTCATTCTTTCTTACCGCCGGGGGACTCGTAGAGCTTCCTGACCATATATAATGTCTAAAAAATGCAGAGAACGAACAGTTTTTCAGCCTAAGCGATTTCAGACCTCTCGATGCAACAGCCAAACGCCCCTCATGCTTCTGGATCGTTTTCGGTGCGCACGAGCTCCGTAGCTCTCCTACAGCCCGAGTTACGTGCGAAAATCGACAGCACCTCTCAAGATCACTCGAACAATACAAATAGTTTCGAGATTCTAGCTCGAGTATCAGACGAGTTCAGACATCTGAATGCAACAGGCAGACGCGCCTGCTATCTCCGAATCGATTTCTGTGATTACCAGCCCTGCAGCCCCCTTACAGCCCGAGTTAAGTGCAGAAAACCGACAGCACCTCTGAAAACGACTCGAACAATACGAATAGTTTCGCGGACCTAGCTCAGACAGCAGACCGAGCTCAGAGCTCTGAATGCGACAAGCGGACGCGACTGATGTCTCCGAATCGATTCCAGTGATTACCAGCCCTGCAGCAACAATACAAATAGTTTCGCGGACCTAGCTCGGGCAGCAGGCCGAGTTCAGGGCTCTTTATGCGACAGGTGGACGCGACTGATGTCTCCGAATCGATTCCAGTGATTACCAGCCCTGCAGCCCCCTTACAGCTCGAGTTAAGTGCAGAAAACGGACAGCACCTCTTAAGATGACTCGACGAATACGAATAGTTTTGCGAACCTAGCTCGGGCAGCACACCGAGTTCCGAGCTCTGGATTTGGCAGGCAGACGCGCCTGATGTCTCCGAATCGATTCCTGTGAGCACGAGCCCTGTAGCCCCCCCTACAGCCGGTTAAGTGCAGAAAACTGTCAGCACCTCTGAAGATGACTCCAACAACACGAACAGCTTCGAGAACCTAGCTCGGGCAGCATACCGAGTTCAGACCTCTGGATGGAACAGACGGACGCGCCTGATTATTTGCAATCGATTTCTGTGACTATGAGCTCTGTAGCTGCCCTACAGCTCGAGTTAAGTACAAAATACCGACAACGCGTATCAAGATGACTCGAAACAGCCGATCCTGCCGCGATGCTTTTTTGCAGAAATATTTATCCGATCGAGCTGAGATTAAGATGGCGAGCGGGAATAAGATCAAATATGGTGGGAAAAATACTAGAGCTCAAACGAATAGTTGAATTTCGAGAACAAAATTTTCAACCGACCAAAAGTCAGCAAAAGGTCCGTCGAGATTTTTCTTGCCAACTAGCTCTCCAGCGCGCCGGAACTGGAACCGGCGGTAAACCGTCAACCTGGCTACCGCCGGGAACCTCGTAGAGCTCTTTTTCTTGCACGGCGATCGTCAGAACACGCGTAGAAAGCTTCAGGAGCGAGAAACAAAAAAAATGAAAAATCATGTTTTTCTGTTTTTATCTAACGTCGGTTCCGCCAAGTGTTTTGATAGTAATACTACTACAGACCTGAAAATTTTACTGGCAGACGCGGCATAACCCACTAGAGGTGCGAAAAATCTGCTTTCTCAAAATGAATTGTCAAACTGGGAACCGGCGGTAAACCGTCAACCAGGTTTGCGTCTTTTGCGAAGGCCGGTTCGAGCTCCCATGGGAGCAGGCCTAAACACAAAGAACCTAAGCAACGAAGCTGCAAAGATTAAAGCAGAGGTGCATCAACAGCGAAGCTGTACAGATATGCACAAGACTGCAAGTATACGCGAAAAACAACTAATAATGTAAAGAGGAATAGAAGCAGTGAGAGACCATACAGTAATCACTGGTTTATACAGCGATTACCGTCTCAACACCACTGAGAATGTACAAGAGATTGAAGGTCAGAATGTAGGTAAGAAAGTGAAACAAAGTGAAAATCAGCGAGTACAATCAAAGCAAGTGGCCTTTGCACCTGCCCCGATAGGAGCTGCCCCAATCCTCTTATGAGACCAGTCAGCGCATCTTAACTTTGCCGAACGTCTTCCCAGATCCTCGGCCCATCACGTCTTAGACGAGAAACGACCGACTCAAGAAAATCATGCATGAGCTCTTCATCGTGGAAAGCACCATCCCAGACCTCGCTGCACTGCAAAGCATGCCACACCGTGACCCGATTTTTGCAGCAACTCCTCCACCGTCCACCACATCCCCGCGGAAGTGACTCTATACAGGAAACGGAGTTTACACCGAGCTCCTCAGCCCAGCCCGCTGCAACCAGACAGCCCTCAAAGTACGAGATATCCGCATGGGAGTAGCCACTGCCCAGAAGACGTTGAAGCATATTCACCTCTTGGAATGTGTGGGGGTCCGAGTAGATAAGAGGTTTACTGTCTGGAGCACTGCTACAAAGCGCCTCGGGATCCAAACCACATTGCCACTGTTGCCAGGCGGAGGCAATAGCCTGCCTGTCCGTAACAATCGGCCGTTCAATGCAATATTTTCTGATCCGCAGGTTTGTTGGCACGAGCTCCACTGCTGTTTCAACATCAACCATTGCGTCAGGTGCTTGATTGTGCTGCAAGTCATCCTCATCCTCTTCCATCACCTCCTTCTCCTGCACATCCATCTTAGCAACTGCCGTGGAAACTTCATGGGCATAATCCTCCTCCGCCACCCCACCAGCTCCATCTCCGCAACTGCAGAACTCCCAACCACAGAATCTGACCGAATCCTGTGGTCAGCCTCCGTTGAACTCCCAACTGCAACAGCAGAACTCCCAGTCATAGAACTCCCTACTGCATCAGCTGAACTCCAAACCGCGGTACTCCCAACTGCAGAACTCCCAGCTTTTGAACTCCCAACTGCATCAACAACTGCATCAGCGGAACTCCGAACTGTGGAACTTCCTACTGCACTCCGAACAGTGGAACTCCCGACTGCACAGGAACTCCCAACTGCAGAAGCATCACCCTGATCAGCGCGCACTCGATGACACTCCTCCTTCTCCTCCTCACCAACAAAGAGAACACAAAGATCAGTCTGAGTCCCACACTCAATGTGAACACAGGGATCTCTCTGAGTCCCACAATCGGAACACTGCGAACACAAAGAGTTGCCAGCCAATTCAACAGCATCCATATCAGTCCGTGTTCCACAAGTGTCCTCAACCCACTCCTCTTCCTCAGAATCGTCCGAGCAGAAATTCCGATAATATCTGGGCGCAAAAATGCCCGCGCGAACAAGGCACGACGGATCTGGCCCCCGAGCCGTGGACCACATACGATACCTGACACGTTTCGCCCGCAGGCGGCGCAACTTCGATTGAGAAACTTTGACACCATGCCCACACAGCTGGTCTCGCTCATGCATGCGAGACTCACCTCCGTACGAAGGGCGAACACGGCAATATAGATCACTAACACACACTTCGACCGTAGACAAACGAGCAGACAAACAAGCGAGAGACTCGGAAGTAAACAACGCCGTATCTGTCCAATATGAAGCAAGAAAATCCGCGCCTGACAATTCAGATGAAACAAACTCCATATATAAAAACGTGGACTCGCTCTACCAGGTCTTGCGGGCTTTGCGGTGGAGTTCTCCAGCACATGCAAGCAGCGGTGCTCCCCGCGGCCACCAGGCGCAAGTGGCTCTACCGAGCGTGTGGGACGCTATCTATAACAGACGCAATCTGCGAGATTGCGTGAATTAGCTTCGAGGCGGCCGTTAACTCACAGACCGTCACGGTTGATTCCCTATCGAGGCCAAACGCCTCCTCGGCAATCACGTGACACTGTATAGCATTTTGATGTTCTACAAAAGCCTGCAGCCACCAGCCTCCCCCAGCCCCAATATCCGAGGTGCCTCCATCGAAGTAACCCCTCAATCCTAAAACTTTCGAAGTATATAAAGGGGCAAGATACTCGTTTCTCTTTGATGTGTGTGGGCAAGCTGACCGCCGGGACCCTCGTAGAGCTCTTTTCTGACACCGCGCTCCTCGGAACACATGAAGGAAGCTTCTGGGGCGAGGCTGGAAAGACTCGAAAAAATACGTTTTTCGATTTTTATCTAACGTCGGTTGCTCCAAGTGTTTTGATAGTAATACTGTACCTACGGGCCTGGAAATTTTACAGGCGCACGCGTCATAACCCATGGGAACCGGCGGTAAACCGTCAACCTGGTTACCGCCGGGGACCTCGTAGAGCTCTTTTCTTGCACGGCGCTCCTCGGAACACATTCTGGAGCAAGACCCGAAAAAAACCCGAAAAACCACGTTTTTCTGTTTTTATCCAACGTCGGTTGCTCCAAATGTTTCGGTAGTAATACTGTACCTAGAGGCCTGAAAATTTCACAGGCGCACGCGTCATAACTCACTACAGGTGCGAAAAATCTGCTTTCTCAAAATGAATTGCCAAATATCTCTGAAATCTTAGCAAAACCGACCCCAAGTCACCACTTTGTCTCTTAAGATCGGGTCGGCCAACTAGCTCCACCCCGCGCCGGAATTCCTCTAGCTCATCGATGCCGACGAGCTCTACGAGGTATTACAGGTGCGAAAAATCTGGTTTGTCAAAATGAATTGTCAAATATCTTTCAAATCTTCGCAAAACAGACCCAAAGTCACCACTGGGCGCCGGCGGTAAACCGTCAACCTTTGTTACCGCCGGGGGACTCGTAGAGCTTCCTGACAATATATAATGACGGAAAACAAATTGTAGAGAACGAATAGTTTTGCAGCCCAAGCGAATTCAGACCTTTCGATGCAACAGCCGAACGCCCCTGATGTTGGATTGTCTTCTATAATAGCTCTGTAGCTCTCGAACAGCCCGAGTTACGTGCGTAAATCGACAGCACCTCGCGAGATCTCGAACAATACGAATAGTTCGGCAAACCTAGCTCGAGTATCAGACCGAGTTCAGACCTCTGAATGAAATAGTGGGACGCGTCTGATGTCTCCGAATCGATTCCTGTGATTACCAGCCTTGCAGCCCCCCTACAGCCCGAGTTAAGTGCAAAAAACCGACAGCATCTCTCAGGATGACTCGAACAATAGAAATAGTTTCGCGGACCTTGCACGGGCAGCAGACCGAGTTCCGAGCTCAAGATTCGACAGATCGACGCGCCTGATGTCTCTGAATCGATTCCTGAGTTTACCAGCCCTGTAGTCCCCCAACAGCCTGAGTTCAGTACAGAAAACCAACAGCACCTCTCAAGGTGACTCGAAAAATACAAATAGTTTCGAGGTTCTAGATCAAGCAGCAGACCGAGTTCAGAGCTCTGGATTCAACAGACAACGCGACTGATGATTCTGAATTGGTTTCTGTAAGCATCAGCTCTGTAGCTGTCATATAGCTCGAGCTAAGTGTAAAAAACCGAGAGCGCCTGTCAAGATGATTCGAATAATACGAATAGGTTTGCGGACCTAGCTCGGCTAGCAGACCGAGTTCAGGCCTCTGGATGCAACAGCCGAACGCGCCTCATCATTCTGGATCGATAAGGTGTGCTTACCAGCTCTGTAGCTGCTCTATAGCTCGAGTTATGTTCAGAAAACCGCCACCGCGTATAGAGATGACTCGAAACGGCCGATCCCGCCTGGACGCTTTTTGGCAATAATATCTACCCGATCGATCTGAGATGAAGACGGCGAGCGGGAATAAGATCGAATATCACGGGAGAAAATACTAGAGCTCAAACGAATTGAGGAATTTCGATAACAAAACTGGGAAACGGCGGTAAACCGACAACCTGGTTACCGCCGGGAACCTCGTAGAGCTCTTTTCTTGCTCGGCGATCGTCAGAACACATGAAGAAAGCTTCTCGAGCGAAAAACGAAAAACTCGGAAAATCACGTTTTTCTGTTTTTATCCAACGACCGTTCCTCCAGGTGTTTCGATAGTAATACTGCACCTACGGACCTGAAAATTTTACTGGCAGACGCGGCATATCCCACTAGAGGTGCGAAAAATCTGCCTTCTCAAAATAAATGGTCCAATATCTTTCAAATATTCGCAAAACCACCCAAAAGTTATCACTTTGTCCTTTTTGGTCGGCTCGACCAGCTAGCTCCAGCCCGCGCCGGAATTCCTCTAGCTCATCGATGCCGAAGAGCTCTACGACGTATTTTAAACCGACCAAAAGTCACCAAAAGGTCTGTCGAGATTTTTCTTGCCAACTGGCGCCGGCGGTGAACCGTCAACCTGGTATTTTTGCGTCTTTGCTGGGACCGTCTTGGCCACTGAGGCCAGGTCCAACAAAGTCTCAGGCAAAACAGAGCCTCTTATTCATCACGCAAGCAGTCAGCTCTTACACCACACAGCGAAGCTGAAGGAATAAAGAGAATCACATGCCGCAATGACACAATCAAACGCAAAGTACACACAGATAAACGAGGAAGCCAGTGAGCAGCGAAGCTGCAGGAATATACAAGACACGGAAAAGAAGAAACAATGTGTGTCAAATCACTGCGAATGATCAAAGAAGGTCTGCACAACCTGTGGGAGCACCTCGCATATGCGCTCCGCCGCCGATAGTTCCGTATCTGTAACAGTGGCGCTCGGTGGTAGACACCAAGCCGCAAGATACACATCCTTGAAAATGATGTCGGTCCGCGAGAAGATATACTTGTTTCGCAGACCAATCTGTATCCATGCACCACAGGCACTTCCGCGGCTACAAACTCCCCCATCAAAGCCGGCTTTGATAAGGCAAGGAATATAACACTGAGATTCAAAGTCGTTGAGGTAAACGAAATCGGCGTACACGTGGCCCTGACGGGCCTGATGGGTCAGTAAGTCAGCTTTCTGGTTCCATTCCCGAAACGAATGAGAGAAGAAGTCACGGCCGGCCTCTGGAGGCCTCACCAAGTAAGTTTCCTGCATTTCGTCCAACTTATTAATCAGAGTATCCACCCTTTTCTGATATACCTGAGCTAATACTTTCCATTTCCCGCAGAGCCAGTTAATAACAAGCAGTGAGTCCCCTTGGATGTCCAGTGGTATCCCATCCGTATCGAGGTCCCACTGTGTACAACGCATATTATGCAACGCAATACGTCTGCTGAGGCGATCCCTATATGCTGGTGTATCCTCCCGATCCTGACCGATATGAACCCCTTCCATCCTCATCCAAGTTCAAGAACACAGGCACCCCTGAGGACGCCAAACCTTTACACTTCTTTTGGAAGTACTTCAACATAGTACTAGAACAAACATTAGCAGCGAAATCCATGAAATGCTCAAAACTTCCAGCAAAGAACTCCAACCAGGATAAACCGTAAAACGATTCCAATGAATAATACCACGGACGGAGTCCGACGCTCTCCTGTCCCCCCCGATGCCTTTTCATTGAGCTGGCCTCCTTCCAATTTCCCCAACATCTGAGAGCCTCACTTGAATCTGTCCTCATTCTATCCCACAGTCGGCCAAACGCCAGACATGAGAAACGAGAATCTCTCCAAGCTCTCATCGAGTTCGCCTCCAACGCCCCCCGATCTGTGATCAGCCTGTGTGCAAAGTCATGTATGTCAATTGCCCACATCCAATGCACTCTGAGAAACTTCTGTACAATGCCCACGAAGTGAGCGTCATGAAATTTTTGTCTCGCACGTTCATACCTCCTCGCACTCCA